GCAGTAGGCTCAGTTTGTTAAATGCTCAATATCTCACACTCACATCTTTCGCATCCTGTAGCAAGTCGGTCAGCGAGTCCACTTTAGAAGAATTCTTCTCTTCCGGAGGGATGAAGTACGAGATATTGGGAACTCCCATCAAAAGTTTCATGTCTCCTACACGAAGACCAATGCCTTGATACGCAAAACCGAGTTCATTGGGGAAAATGGGAATGTCTATATTGTGAAGGATCTCTGTACGTGGAGAGGCCTCGCCATTTGAAATGGTTTTCCAAACATCATAACCGTCGAGGGGCTGATCTTCGTGATTAAGATGACCACCTAAATATAGCAAAAGTAACTTCACGTACTTCACGTTGAGTAATTCACGTTAGGTAATTCACTTTAAATACTTCACGTTCCTTACTAAAACACATATTGATAGTTACTCTCCTTTGCAGCGGTTCTTTGGAATGTCGCACAACTCTCCCTCAAGTTCCCCTGCGTGACATCCCAAAGAACAGCTGTGAATGAGGCTTGCTTGTAGCTCAAAGAAAACAATAATATTAGCAACAATAAAAGTATTAATAAAATTCCCCCCTTGATTGTCTGGACTGACAGAGGTTCTATCAACATGAAGACGTAACAGGCTTTGTCCTCATTTGACTTTCTATCTTGAAAGCAGACATGCAAGGATGAATTCAAAAGATTCAAATAGGCTTTAGGTGGAAATGTATTTTCCTTAAAATGCGAACCTGGGTGGAGGCTCCCAATCTTCATGAAATTCAAGTCAGCCAACAAATGAACCCATGAGAGGTCTAAGTAGTGTCCATTTTTCATATACTCTTTAAAAGCACATCACCCAAAATATTTCATTCAAGGGGCAGTGAAAACTTTTACAGTTGTATTGCACAGAGTAAGTTGTTCCATTAAGCACACCCATGCACTTGTCCTTACCAGCAAGATTAACCAATGTTGGGTACCAGTCAGTCACGTGAATCAGCCCAGTAGATTTCACCCCACTTCTAGACAGCATTTTTCCATGTACGAACCCCACCCCTCTGATTCCTCCTTCCCACAGAGTGCCCTTACGTCCTCTCAGGGGGTAGTCATATCCACCATGTTTTGGGACCCCTCCATTGTCAGTACTGAAGATCATCAAGGTGTTGTCCCATAACCTTCAAAGAGCAAGAAATTGTTAAGTAAATTCTAAACCTAGTTTGCCAAGAATTATCATTTGTCATTCTTCTGTGATATCTGCTTTTAATTAATAGCTTTTCTATCAACATGAAACCCATAATGCTCCTCACATGAATTTTTATTTATCCCTCAAAAATAACACTAAAGTGAACAAAGACATAAATAAATATTCATCTTCTCAGTGCCTGAGGTAGGTTTCCAGTACTAAAATCATATTTATTTAGCTTCCCTCCAATATGATGTGGATACTCTTCCTGTTTGCCAATTGTTTACTCTTATATTTATCCCCTGTGGTTAGCACATCCATAAAACATCTTGTAATGTCAAGTGAAGACAAATCGAAGGTTTACCTCTAAACTTTAAGCAAATTTTGCTTGTTTTTCTTTCAAGAACAAGTTTAACCTATCCTTGGACCATTGTAAACACATCCACTACACCTATCCTTACCCTTTCCATTACCTTAACCCTTAACTCCCATGAGTGACCAGGACAGAATTTCTCCTTACAACATCAATACAATATCAAGCAAACAAGTGATGAGAATAAAGAAAAATATTAATTAGGGGATTATAAGTTGATCCAATTTTTCAAGTTCTCCAAACCAACATCTCAAGAACTGTTTAGCTGACTGTAAGGAGAATTACCAATTAGATCTTTGGACTCAAAGTGTTAACATGTTACATTCCATAAACCCTGGAGCTGAAAGTGACACCCCTCTGGCAGATACTTGCCATTATTTAAATTTTCCCTCCCTTGTGGACCTTCCTTGTCAAGGGAATTATGACTGGAAATGCTCTCTATTTAGGGTAAAAAGGATATACACACATACCCTGCTTCTTTAAAAGCGCCTGTTATATTACCAACTGCTTCATCCATGATATCCACCATCCCAGCATAAGTCTGTCTTATTGTGTCATCTATAAAGGAGTACTTATCTACATATTGTTTAGGTGCTTGGACTGGAGAGTGGACATTTTGGAATGCCATGTAAAGGAAAAGAGGACCATCTGATGCATCATGTGATTTGACGACATGCTCAGCTCGCTGAAAAAGTATTGATCAATAACAAAGGTAATTGATAATGATAAAGATAAAAATAATGCTTATCTTTCTTTCTTGACTGTAGCTCATATCTAAAATCAATCAACTTGTAGTGCGTGAAGAAAAAAACAGAGATTACACCTGAATAAACTATAAAAACCAAACATTTCAAAAATAGATAGAAATGCAGTGATTACTGCAGGTGCACTTGCAACACAACATACACATACTTATCAAATTTGAAAAAATTGTTGCATGGATTTTGTTGGGCAGACTCAGAAATTCTTTTATCTAACTTATTTATGATTAACCCTTTTACTCACAAGATCTGATTAGTAAGTCTCCCCTCCAGCTGCTAGACAAATCCTTGTTAATTAGTAATGAGAACTTGGTGTTAGATCGAGACAACTTTTACATGATAAGTTTGAATATTCTCATTAGCTGTTTGCTGACTAATGTAAGGATATTATAGGGAGAAGCTGCATGTTGATCACTTCTGGGAGTTAAAGGGTTAAGTGCCTTTGAATGCAAACATTTTGCCATTCTTTTTAAACACAAATGGTTTACCTCTGTAAAAGCATTAACAGAGTATGTCCCATTCATATCCCTGACAATTTCTTCATTGTCTCTGAAATCAAGAAAATCATCAACAACATGTGTGTAATGATCCTCATCGCCATTGTAAAATCCATAAAAGGTATCAAAACCTCGGTAGGTAGGAGTACTGTCCCAGTTGTAGAAACCAAGATGCCACTTGCCTACCATATGGGTGCTGTATCCTTAAAAAAAATAATAACAACAACAACAACAAGAGCAATCCTTTAGTATTTTAAGGGGAAATTTGCCAAACAAAATACAACTACAGGTAGAATAACCAGGGGGACAGGAGGGGGGGAGGGAGGGAATGGCTTTAGCCACTATCGATTTCAATTTGGGAGACAGTCAGCACCTCTACGTTCTGGTACACAAATTTCCTCTGTTGCAGTAAAAAATTAGTACATCTTTCCACGAATTATTTCAAAGAGATGATGATTAGCAAAATGATGTGGTCTAGAAGTTTTTTTCTTTCAACAAGTGCCTTGTTGTGCATTGTCACCAACTGATTAGCTTGGCTAGTGTATCATACACCCCCCTCACCTTCCAAATGACTCTACCACCTACGAAATGTGTTGGCAAAGTCATTAATAAGCTGCTTAAATTGAATTATTGACCAATAACAATTATATGTATCAAACACAACCCGGTTTTGAGTTTGAAATTCAAAGGCTTCCACACTTAAGACAATAAAAATGAACGGTAAAACACGACATTTCCACCAAACTTCGGTCATTTTCAAGTGAATGGTAAGATTGTCATGTTGCCTTGGTTGAGGGTACACATTCCCCGTTTTTTCCACCTGCTGGTTTTTAGGAGTTTTCGTGTCCGGCTTTAGTGCATTTAGTTTACTTCAATCGTAAAAGACTTTTGTTAGCATATCGATTTGTATTGTTTGCGTTAAATAAACGGTGGCTTGGCTGGCCAATGCGCCCAGATATCAACTCTTTGTGTGCCCGGTTGAGAAGTGGAACAAAATAGGAAGCATGCTTTTACTTTTTTTTTTACAGCTTTATTGACCATTACACATGTTACATACAGCAAATTAAACAGCGAAGAAAAAAAATGAAATATATGTGCAAAGTGATTTAAAGTGATAAGGTCAAAAGGGAAGGTGCGAACGGGACGCGAGGACCCATGCGAGGCACCTCCCAAGACTCTCCGTCTCCAAGGTAAACTTAATAGAGGAATAGCACTGGTTTAAAATCTCGAGGAAATTGACTGCTGATGTTATGTCTTGATTATTTCTTCTCTTTATATGTTCTTATTGACCGTTTACATTTCCAAAAAATTTTACGTTCCTTACAGGCATATAAATATTCATCGTGACATTCTTACTATTCACTTGGAAATGACCAAAGTTTGGTCGAAACGTCTTGTTTTACTGTTCATTTTTATTATTCATTTTTATTTTTATTTTTATTGTCAAAAGTTTTACGAAATCGCTATTTCACACTCAAACCCAGAATAAACAATTATAGCATTAGGTCACTTGGAATTCACTTTTCACATAATTGTTAACATAACACTCTTAAGAGAAGGTTGGACTCGTAAGTACAGAGCAAATTCTTACCAACTTCCTTGAGCTTTTGGGGCAGTGTGGTGATATTTAACGGCAGACCAAATGGAGACTCACTACGAATAACTCCATGCTGCATTCCTGCAAAAAAATAATTGTTCTACCTCTACACGAATCATAGTAAGGAGAAATTACATGTCGACATTGGGGCTTTTTAAATCATCAACTTTCAATTTTACATACTTCCATGTGCAAAAAAGAATATCTAGAGTTTGTAATATACGTTTCCATCTAAATCTACATTTATAAACTGCAAAGGGCTTAACTTATCACTGTAAATACCAAAACAATTAACATCTACGATGGCTCATGATTAATGTCACACCCTTTTTAACTTTCGGTTTGTCTATCATTCACTTCAAGGAAGGATTTCTATACATGTACTTATGTTTGTTTCTAGTATGAAAACTGAAATCAGCATTTGTTGAGCAGAAACAAAGTTGGGCAGGTGGTGAATTTATTGCAGACCAGCCCTAGGGTGCAAGTGACATGCTGGTCGTCACATGATGTTTTCGAAAAAGAGTAATGGGAAACTGAAGGAAATATCGCCGCCCCCTCCCCCCCCAGCTTTATATTAGGAGTAATAGTGTTAAACTGGCCAAAAATCCACAGAAAACTGAAATCATACTAACCAAGGTGAATCGGGTATTTTCCAGACATCAATGCTGCTCTGGATGGAGAGCACATAGGTTGGACGTAGTAATTATCCAGAATTACTCCTTCCTTAGCCAATTTGTCAACATTTGGGGTTTGAATTTTCGAACCATGGAAGCCTACATCACTCCATCCAAGATCATCCACAAAAACAAATAAGATATTAGGTCCAGATGCAGCAGAGGTGACGAAGATATGGAGAATCGTCGAAGTAAGGAAAATAAAAAAGCTCACCGCAGATATCATTGTCGCCGAAGAATATAAAAATTTGTTGAGTTTTCACGCTATTTAACGTTTTCTCCTTTTCATGAAGTTCACAGCTGGCCAACCAAAAGACGTCTTGAAATGACGTCATCTAATCTAAGATCTACAGGTGAAACCAAAGGCGGCCCAAGCTTCAGCAGTAAGATGAACATCTTGCCAAATAACAGTCATGGCGGAATTAGAGTTTATATGACAATATTTAATACCGCTCTAAGGAATAAAAAATACTTCAAATTCTCAATAAAAAATAACTCACCTTACTTCCACAATGTATCGCTTGTTATCTGACTGCTTACTACAATTTTTTAAATTAATTTTCTTTTTAATTATTTAAATCAATTTTTTAAAATTAATTTTAAAAACATTTTTTTAATCAATTTTTTAATTAATTTTTTAACACTTTTTTGACTCATTTTTGCAATTAATTTTTTTTAAAATGATTAAAAAAAATATGTTTTCTTGCCCACTAATTTTTCACATCTTTGTCCGGTCCTATTCGTATGTCTGGCCAAGCTTTTTTAGTCATTGGCATTCGTAAAGCCTTTAACTATGGCTTATAAATACAGGCGTTTCGTTTCAACATGTAAAACTCCTTGAGGACGTCTACGACATTTACAGTAAAAACCCGCGTATAAGAACCTAGTGATTTAAGAACCTACAGGCTGAAATTTTGCATTTTAATACCCAAATATATAAGAACCTATTCAGCCTGACAAAGAAAAATAGGTTCTTATATAAATAAACACTCCAGATTTGATGTTCAAATTCTGGATTTTAATTGTGAAAATTTTTGTAGCGTACTGCTTTTTAGTCTTACCAATAAAATACTATTCATTCCATAAAACTTTGCTGTAGTTACAAATACAGTCACAAATACTGTACAGAGCATTTAAAAATTAAAATAGTTTTTTTAATACAGAACATAAAAAAAATACAGGACTTTTCTCTTGGACCTTGATTCTGTAAGTGCCCAGATGTGATTTTAGTCCATGTGACAAAATATCAATTAAGAAAAGAATGTACATGTCGTCCTTGAAGGTTTCCTTTGTTCATCTGACATGTGTAAAATTCCAAACCCTATTTAAATACTTTCAGGTTTCTCTAAGATTTTTCAGTCCAACTGTGACAGTAATACATGTAACAAGAATAAACAATTTATGTTTCTGCTTCTGTACTTGAAAACAAGGCAGGCATATTTTTCCTGTTGAAATTTGCATGGTGATCATATAACTGTAAATATGGTCAGGCCCATGATACAGGACTTGTTTCGACAACAAGGCTTGACATTTTTGTAAATGCTTTACAATTATAGCATATTAGTACTATTGCAGTTCCCCGAATGCTATCACTATAATAACTTTTGCAAATAAGAACCTACTAAGAACCTAATCAGCCTGTTATTGGAAAAAATACCCCAAAATATAAGAACCTGTTCAACCTGAACTCCAAAATTTTAGGTTCTTATACGCGGGTTTTCACTGTAGACAAAATGCGTCAGGGGATAAAGAAATTTTACAACTTCTGTTCGCAGAGTGCTGCTCACGAGTTCAGTTTTAAACAAATTGTTTAAGTCAATACTAGAGGGAGCCACATGGCGATTTTTTAATGAAAACAAAAAAATTTAAAACAATTTTTTTTAATTGTTTAAAAAAATTAAAAAAGTGATTGAAAATTAAAAAAAAAAGTAATTAAAAAATCTATAAAAAAAATTATTAAAAAAACTTTTTAAAAAAATCTATTAAAAAATGATTTTAAAAAATTGTTTGAAAATTATTTAAAAAATTAATTTAAAAAATTGTTTAAAAAAATTTAAAAATTATTAAAAATAGTCTTAAGATGCGTGTAAAACTTCGTTTCCCCTGAAAAAATCATTTATCAATTCTTTTGTGACTGCGTTATTTATCGAATTTCTACTCCCTTATTTTCCAAATAACCTTTAAGTCATAAAAGCCATGGCAGATGATTGCTTCAAGAGTTTTTAAATTACTCGACGATAACAAGTGATCTTATTCTGGAAAGGGAGACGCAGCGAACAGAAAGAGGGTTAAGAAAAAAGGATGAAGTCTTTAGGAACTGCATGGATAAAGTACAGCATAAAACTAACTAGGAAACTATACTGCTATATTTCTGATGACGAATCAAATGTTGAGCTGCATTTCGTTTTTGCTAGTTCTAAGAATATCTTGTTGACAATATCCCGAATGTTACTTTTCAATATCAAGATCAATCAGACTCTTGTTGCTGATAATTAAATATATAGCTTGAATGTTTGCTTGCCACCAATAGAGCCACTTGAGAGAAGGCCATTAAACCCGTAATACCCTAATTTCTAAAGCAAAACTTTCTACGGTCCACGGTATCAAAAACTTTCTTTGCTTCTGCTTCTAAGAAGCCATCAATCATATCGTTATCTATCAATAGTGAAAGCAGGTAATTTAGTGTTAACAACTGAGTTGAAAACGTAAAATAACCACCGTAAAGTGTA